ATCAAAACGTTAACAGTTCAGCCTGCCCTTTTTGTCCAAAGTAAACCAGAGACTGACTTCATCAAGCCCAAGCTATGGATAAACTGAGACACTTTTAAACAATTTCAAGTTTATTTTGAGATTTTCTGCTAAAATAAACCACTGTGTAATTTCTTCAACCCCTCCAGCATTTGAGGTTTTAAACTAACTTCGAAGACATCTTCTAAAGTTTAAACCAAATATAGACCTAATATGTGAGTAGTGGTCTTCTCAATATTTTTTACAGCATGATGTTCTAGTTTTAGTGCAAGGATGGTTTTGAATGTTTCAAAAACACTACTTGTTTTCTTGGGTCATCCATTGCTTGTTCTGTGTGAATTTTCCTTTTCCTATTCTCTGTCTTCATATCAACGTACAGTGCATCCTAATCTGTCCCCCTGACATGTTAACCCTCCATCAATTAACATCATTTCATCAGCTCGTTGACACTGTGCAGCACTCTCAAGACTGCACAATGTAGGCTAAATGCACAGTGCACACAGAGGTCACTGGGCCACATAAATACTTGTTAAGGATGTATGGAATATTCAACATGATCCAAATGAGGCAAACTTAAAAAAAAAACTCCATTACTCTTACACTATCAGATGAAAACTTGGCAACATCTTGTGTCTGTGTCACAAACTGTCTAAACATTGTGTCTCGTTTCCTTCACAGCAGCAGCGAATGCCCAGCTGGTAATTAGGGTTTTTTTGGCTGATTGAGACGTGCTATGTTGGAGGTGGAGCAGAGAACCAAACATTTCTACAAGCTCCGTAATAACATGCTAGAGCTGCCCTTAAATGACATCTGGCTAACACACTTAATTTCACACACATTTGTGTCTGTGTGTATATGTGTGTCTGTGTGCGTGCATATCCGTCTGCCATCTCCATTTGTGGATTCATGGTGCTGCTGTAAATACGCTATAGTGGTGATGGCATCTCAGTGTGAAACCTCTCTCTATTTGAAAAATTACACTAGTGACCAATGACATGTCAAAATGTCTAATTCACTTAAGAAGGGAAGGAGAAAAAGAAAAGAAGTTGACAATAACGTCTGGGAAGCTAAGAGCAGAAACACAAGCAGTTATCCCCAAATCTGTCACCAAAATACAATAATATTTAAAGATTTAAATGATTTATAATCATTCAATTTTTAGTAACTATTAAATTCTAGTAACTATTTAAGGTTAGGCTATTTTTTCTTTTAGTGTGATCTGATTATTATACATTATACACAGCACAACAAATGCGGTTTATGTCATCTACTACCATGCTCTCTGCACTTGGCAACATTAATTGTTTACACAAACCAACATCAGCAACAAACCGTCAAGTGCTGGCTTCACACTGCATCCAAAATCAATATATAACAGAAATGTGCTATATAGTTTATTAGGTACACCTGGCTAAAACTAATGCCAACTGCAATAAATCCTTCCTTTATCAAGGTTAAGGTTAATAATGAAACAGTTTTAAAGACAGGTGTTGTTGTCATTTTGGAGCTTGCAGTTTGTGGCGCTGTTTAATATTATTGTTTTATGTTGACAGGAGTTCCTATTGTTTTATGCACCACATTTATATTAATGAGTGTAGGTTAAATATCAGGAACACATCTCTGTACCTGGCTCTGTACATGATGAATTGTCAAGTAAGTATACTTGTCATTACATACAGTCTATGTAGGTAATTTTTTATTGGTATACAACACGATACAGTAAAGTACTACCTGTAACTGTTTAAAGACAAAATAACTTTTTCTGTTTGGTTTTAGGCTGGAAGCTTTCTTTCTTCCTTGGTTGTATCTCAAATATATAATGCATATGGTCAATGGTTCTCAGTCATCCAGGTCATAGTTATCCAACAAAGGTTGAGGTCAAGGGCAACTGGGCTTAGTTGACAAAAAACTAGAAGTTTTTCTAGAAACTAGAAGTTCTAGTTTTTCTTCAACCTAGTCCAGTTGCCCTTGACCTCAACCTTTGTTGTTTTATTTCAAAAGAATTATTACATTGCAAAATTTAAAAACAGTCAATTGACTGCCTTAGTAGAACAGATAACTTGGTATAAACAGTGTATACAAATCTCTGACAACAGTCACATTTATATTGTCTCATCAGTCTATATCATCTATATCATCATATTGCCCAACTCTACGCAGGTTGTTACACTGTACTGAAAACCCAAAGAAAACAGAAACATATCAGCATGCTTCACAGGTGCCACAGTCCACAGTAGCTCTGTAGAAGTTCTAAGCAGCACGGCACGTGGCGTTGAAAAATCTTTCACTTTCTCCTTCTGTGATAACATGCATGTACTCATTAAAACACATGTGAAAGCTGTGAGGGGACTTTGGACAACTGCCTCCAGCAGCAATTAGTAACTAACAAAAAATGTAGGGGCTTCCCAGGACAGTCACACATCCTAGCAATGCGTCAAGAAAAGCAGAGGAGGACGAGGTGCGATGAAAGATAGAGCAGAAAAGATTTACAGTTCCTCCGTAGATGAAGAACTGCTTTTAGATAAGACCTGTTGCAACTGATTCATCTCATGTGCGAGTAAAAGCCAATAACACTGTGTAGTACAGGTGTTAAAAGATGAACTAGGAACATTTGCTGACTTGCTCTTTGTTAGGCTACAATGACACAGAACAAGCAAATGACCCTCACTGCAACCTCAGTGAATTGGGCCATGCTGGTTGATTTCTAGATCTCACCAATGCACAAAAGCAGAATTGTCTTTATAGCTACACATGAGCTGACAGAGCTTTGTGGTGACAGAGGACTGAGCTGGTTTGTTTTTAAAAACAGTACAGCTGATAATACAAGGGCGGAAAGTTCAGGGTAACTTCCAGTATTCGTCTATCTGGATATGAGCAGTGTGATTCATACAATATATACCAAAACACAATAGTATCTACAGTATCAGGAGTGTGTGTGTGTGTGTGTGTGTAAACACAGGTTTAAAACACAGAGTTGAAACAGCTGCAAATTTCTGTCACTGCAAAAGTGAAAAGAAAGTCTGATGTCAATCTTCATGCAAAAACAAATTTCACAAAAAGATTTTATGCTCGACAGGATGAAGACATTTGAACCAGCATTTAGACCTATTACAGTAAGAGCCACCACTGAACATTCCTACATAAACACTGATAGATATAACAAAACATATGCTTTCATCTTGTCAGAGGGTATTGAGAAGCTAATGTCAAATATCAAGATGAAAGTAACACTGAATGTTAACCCTAATCAATATGATTTTTTTTGACCAAACAAACTCACCGCAAAGTCCACTTTGTGGCTGTTTGATCACATCACATGATCTTCCTCAGCAGACAGAGTTGGCCAAGTTGTCATTGCAGCTCTGAGCACTTTTAGGGCTTCTCATCCAGCTTAAAAGCTGTGATGAAACCAGTAATAATAACTTCTTTTGCAGCTCCATGTATTAACTTCTAATCACACTCATTTCTGATACTTGTAGACCTGGCTGCAAAAGGAATCATAATGTCATCCTACAAAGAGCGACAGCCAAATGATTTTGGTTGATGAAAGGTTAAAGGCTCCCCTCCTCTCCTCCTCTCAAAAATGTGTTTTTCTTCTTGTTCTACTGTTGGATTTTTGAGCTTAACTGTGCATAATGATGTAAAGTATGTGCACAGTTTGACAACAGAAGGCCGATTTCACATTCATCTGCTCAAAGTGGAAAGTTTATCGGTGCTCACTGAAAATCTGATTTTAAACGGTGGGCCTATGAGCATGATTTGTGACATCACTGATAGTTTGGAATCAAATTTGCAAATTATAAGTGTGATTTAAGGATTTTAATGTGGAAATTAAAAGAAAGATGTCTGGAGGGGCTCTTTCAGTTATTTTGATTAAAGGTAGCCCTGTTTTGTTGAAGGTTTTAGTTATGGTTAACGTAGTTTAATGTGAAAAGAACATGCGTGATGAGTTGACAAGATCAACATTTGAATATTGGACATTTGCTTTCAAACAAATGCAAATTTTCCATGAGGTAAGTAAGTACAACCCTTGCCAGGAAATGTATATTTCATGTAAATGTAGGTTGTTCATCTACTTGGTTGTAATAGGTTATGTTTATGTTTGCTTCTTCCTGGACATTGTTCAGTACAAGACCCAGTAGAAACTGGAGTCACATACTTGGCCAACATAGAGCTATGGTTCTGATGCTGAAATTCAACTTAAGAGCAATAACTGAAAAGTTTCATACATTATAAAACATCTTGCAATGCCACTCGTGGGTACTTATGGATCCAGGCCGAGATTGTTAGTCAATCTCAGATTCTTCCCTAACAAAGCCAAAGCCTCACCTAACTCCTAAACTACCTAAACATAACCATATCTAGTCGTGTTACACCCAAATATAACCACTGAGTGGGCCACTCGCATGGTTTCTGCCCATTATGCTGGCACCTGTAGCATCTGTCCTGGTCATCCTTCACTTCATCGGATAACTAAAACAAGCAAACCTGTAGTTTAAAATAAGATGGTTTTAAATAACTGAATCACCTCAACAACAAACAGGACAAAGTTAATCCCCTTATCTGCATTAAACAACATCACAGCTTTGAACACATTCACACACTTATCAGCACTCATCAGTATGAATGAAACATACCCCTCTCTCCCTCTAAATGCACTTTAATGTAAGCTGATGGGAACAAATGTGCTGAGAGCTTCAGAGGACACTGTGCACTGTTCACTCAAATCCACCAGCCTTGTCTCTTAACTTCTGCTATGCGCCTTATCAGTAACACACATGCGGACACACACAGAGCAAGAGTGTGAGCTTTGAAAGTCCAATGATGCCAGAAGGGAAAACTTCCAGAGCAGTCCAGATCTCTCTCTTGCAGAGACAACAAGAGTCAATATGGACAGCAAAGATGAATGTCAGTGAATTAACGGTAGCATCTGACCTTTCTCTATGACACACACAAATACACACACACACCTTTCCACTTACATTTCAAAGCCTGGATCAGCGCCTTGCCGTCTTTAATCAGCTCCTTGATGAACTTGTTGGTCTTGTCCAGCTCCAGCTCGTGGGACTTGAGTCTCTCCCTGAATTGCGGGCTGTCCAGGTAGCAGTCACTGAACTCGAGAGCAGGTAGTCCCATCCTTCTTTATCACCACCACCGGCCTCGACACAACCTGGACGACCCGGCAAAAAGCCCCGAACAGGAGAAGGAGGAACAAGAGAAGGAGGAGGAGGGGGGAGGAAAGCCTAAGCTACTACTGTGGCTGCTGCCTCTGCTGCTGGAAATGATGGAAAATCCAATTACAACATGTAAACAACAGGGCAGAGATGCCTACCTACATAACCTTGCTTTGGCTTTATTGGAGCTACACTCTCAATTTGACACAAGCACGAGTCCTCCTGTCTCTCTCAGAGTGGCTGCAACTGCAGCAGTCCGACACGGCATCCAATTAAATGAAATAAAAAGTCACAGAAGAGTAAGTGTCTGATGGTTGGTTCAAAGAAAACAAGTGTCCCGTTGCTCAGGTAAACCGGTGCTGCATTCCTCTCGACCAAGTCATTGTGGACCGGACCGGAGTCAACCGGGGACGAGGAGGGAAGGAGGGCGGGAGGCAGCAAAAAAAAAAATAGCCTTGTAAATGCGGTGTCTTCCCTGGGCGGTTTTAAATGCACTGCTTTCTCCTCAGCCCCACTCAGCTCAGCGCTGCAGACCCAGACACGGATAATCCCCTGATTGACGTCCCTCTCGGCCAATGAGATGGCCGGGCTGGAGAGCTGGCCGTGTGGGGGCGGGTGTGCGGTGAGCTACACTGGAGCAGAGACTAAGAATAAAGAGAAGAGGGCTCACTCTGGTCTCGTTTCTGTTGGACTCGACTGCTGCCTCTCTTCAGGTGCTGCCTGCCAGCGGTGGGATGAAAGTACTCAAACATTGTGGCCTATTTAAGTTTGGTATTTGCTTGAGTATTTCCATTTTATGCTTTACTGTTACTCCTACTCCAACTCCCATTTCAGAGGGAAATATTACTATATTATTATATTATATATATTATTTGATAGCCTTAGCAGATTTAGATTAATACAAAATATAGATCAATTTATAGATTATAATACATTTTTATAGATTCAGCTGAACAGCACTATATAAAGAAATTCAAACTGGCCACCTCTTTACCAGCTGCATCATTAATACACGCGATGTACACATTAAGGCATAATTATAATCCAGTAAAAAAAAAAAAGTTAATATATGATTGTGAAATGGTCTATTCTGCATGAGTACTTTTACTTTTCATACATTAAGTATATTTTGATGCTAATAGGCTACTTTTGTACTTTTGCTTAAGTAAGATTTTGGTTTAAATTGTTACACTGGTCTCTTTTACTTAAGTAAAATATCTGAATACTTCTTCCACCACAGTCCAAGCAGGTCAACTAAATGTCTCATTCCAAAGGTTTCTCCAAAAGAGAAATATAGCTTAATCTTCTTTTGTCCAATATCTAGTGATATTTTTGAGCATTTTTATTTAGTAGCCTACACGTTGGAAACAGGGTACTTAGGTGTACTTAGGCAAGGTGCTTTGAGCTAGCTAAGTACTAAAATCAGCATGCTAATGTACTCACAGTGACAATGCCAACATGGTGATTTTGATCAGTTAATATTTGTTAGCATGGTAACATGACTACTTAGTTCAAAATCATTTGGTCATAGACTGGGACATTTCATTACAAAGTCATTACAATGATCGTCAAGGACCATGAGTAGGCCTATCTGTTGCAAATTCACTGCACTTCGTAGTTGTCATGATACAGTATTTCAATCAAGTGGCACTAGAAGAAAAGTCAGCGGGTTACCAAATTCATCCTCTGGTGACCATGAATGTCTGTACAAAACGTCATGGCCATCCAATGGTTGTTACAATAAGTTAAGTGAGTAAGTAAAGTTTATTTAATATAACACTTTTCACAGAGCAAGTCACGAGGTGCTTTACAATAATACAAGTCTGGACAGATGTGGTGGGCTGACCAGAAGACTGACATTGCCATCCCTAGAGCCACGTTGCTAGCGTGGCTAAAACATTGGGATGACATGCAACAAATTTTTAATTAATATAGATTCATGGCTCAAATCAGACTGTGGGCCATTATGGTGTAGTAAATATTTATTACGCATAATAAACTATAACCTACTCACCTATTAGAGGACACATTGGACAATTCATGCTTTGTATCTCTCAGTATTTCAGACTCTATTGTGCACAACTCTAGTGCATTCAGGCTTACCTAACCAAATGGGAAACAATTAATGAACAGAAAGGTAATATGGAAGTCACGCTAAAATCGGCATCCATTCAACCTTTATCCATGTTAGCGGACTGAGTAATATTGTTTGATTGTATTCTGGGTGGAGCTGGTGAAACAAACAAGATGGACTCTAGCCATCTGTCAGTGTTAAGCTAACATAACTAGTTTACGCATTTAATGCCATGTTCATAATAACATTCAGAGTCATCTGCATAGTTAGAGTTAAAATGAATGAACGTAATCGAGTAGGACCAAATATCCGTTGGGTATTACATCTTTCCGAGCATGGACTATCTTTGCATGCAGCCTGGTTGGTGGGAGGAGACGCTGATGTCATTTCAGGCAGAGCAGGGAATTTCTGCTAAAGCTTCACTCTGTGGCGCCCTCTGGTAGCACCATGGTGCACCACAACAGATTTTTATTCCTTTGGTCAACTTGTATTGATGTCTTTAACTCTAAAATGATTGTATTTCATATTTTAATGACGAAAAAAATGCTATTTTGACGTGTGATGGGAAAGAAAAACAACAAACAGCTTATTCTCCCTCTGCATATCAAATGCTCCAAGAAGACAAGCTAATATCAGATTTCATGTTATAAGGTCAAATAACCTGCAAGCCTACTATACACTGAAGTCATTGCCACTGCCATTGAAATGATGACACATTTAGATATTTTTTACATGCACATTATTGACACATCTATGCAGTATGTGTTTGTGGTTAATGTGTGAAAACAACCCAGATTTAGGCACGCTACTTCCTCTGCTAAAGCCCAGCACAGCGTCTGGTCGCTTGCTCATTTCTCCATCTGTTACTGTCACTGGTGTACAGAGATAGCCATTTACAGGAAGTCATTGCTTGTTGTCTGTGTATGAAGATGCAAGAGGCTAATTCAGGAACCAGATATAACCAGTTTATTGTCAGGTACCTGTCAGAAACTATGACAGTTGCATGATTTGTCACTCTGAGCTTTAACGTTGGCTTTAAAATTCCCTCTAATTAAAAGTGCAATTGGGCAACATGCAATAATAGCACCTTAGCACATGCACTTTACACAAACCTCAGATCAGTAGAGCAATGTCCAATAACCACACTAGCAGTTTAGCACTTGCACGTTAATCCGTGGCACTCCGTTGTCAACAATATGCTTTTAGATCTGTTTTATGTTTTCCTATTGTAAAGTATTACACCATGTCAGCTCAAAATCACTGATAACATTAAAACATAATATGACTTTCAAGAATAGCAGCCTAAATCTAATTGTTAAGCCCAAAGTTTCATCACGTTATAATTTATATGAAACACCTTGTCCTTCGATGTGCTAAATGAACATGACATGTTGTAACTTGTGCATGCTTTTCCATCTTTTTTTTATTTGTACAAACTCTGTTTTCTCAAAATACAAATCAGTTTTACTTTTAAATACATGTCAAATCCATGTATAGCCATCACACACTTTTGGTCCCTGTGTGAGTTCACATACCGTGGTTGCTCCATGTTAGAAAGAAAAACAATTGCCCTTTATCAGTACCACTGAATGTATTAAAAGCTTTGCATTAATCAATGCCATTGCAAAAATGCTTTATGGCCATTAAGATGCTGTTAATTAGATTATTTCTGTTCCTCTCTAATCCTTTGCGTCAACCTCTCCCAGAAAGAACATCCTTTTGAGAAAACACTAACGTAATTATCGACAGCTATAAATATGCATGCATATATCCATTTCCCCTTTTTAAACATGAAACAAATGAGACCTGACTGACTGAGTTCTTCAGCCCTTTACAACTCCAATATCCAACTCCTTAAGCTTCAACTAGACACCTTCAAGTTAGAAACAGTGTTCCGCATTGTGGAACAAGTCTTCCATTTACGGATCAAAGCTACATTCTATATCTGTTTCACATCACTATCACTATCAAAGGTATTCATAAATAAAGGGGGTGGGGGGGTATGTCGGCATATTCTAGCCAAAAGACTTACAAAGTGTGTCACAGAAAAGTTGGTTTACACATTGTCAAAAATCCAGTAACATGATCTTCAGCTCTCAATCTAATCCTACCATTATATTCACGACAGAGGTGGTGCACATTGATATTTAAAAATCTACAATATTTTAAGCACGGTTTTTGGCACAAAAGCTTAGTGTACACTACCTGCCCAGCACCAAAATGGCAGACAGACAAAGTTAGTGTCTAACTGCTGAACATGGTGGAGCATTTAGCACCACAGAGAAAGATATTTCCCTCAGGAGTTATAGGAGTAGAGTGAACATTTGACTTAAATTTATCAGGCGGACCCAAACACCACTCCAAATTAATCCAAACCTTAGTCCAGACATGCTGGATGTGCATATAAATAAATATTTGCTAACACTTTAACTGTATCATTTTTATAAGGTGAAACTATGTCAGCATTGTGAAAAAATCAGTGAATCTAGGTTTTAACATCACCATTACAAGAAATATTGCATACACAGAGTGTCTGTGCAGATTTCTTTCTGCAGTGGATGATGGTTGACCTATTCTGCCATCTCCTGGTATATAGAGGTAAAGCATCTATTCTTAGCAAACATAACTAGCTCAACACTGAACAGGTGAGAGAAAAGTAGGTCAGGCTCTCCACTTCTTGGCAGTGTAGTCAATCTCTGCACTTTTCGCTGCACATTTTCTACATGGTCTTATGTCTCATGATTTAAAGTGTGTTTTTAAATTACTGAAGGGGATGAATTATAGAGAGAGGAGAGTTTCCATTAGAAGAAGACAGACGCTAGGCAACCGCAGTGAATAATTCACACACTCGTGCTGTTTATTGTCGTGCAAGTGCGAGACAGACAGTGAAAGCGTTTGCTGCATTTTTAGAAGCCATTTCCAGCATTTTGAGATGCCCATAGTACCTATTGAATATTTTTAAAACTGAGTACATTCAAATGCTTTTGGTGTGCCCTCCAAAACTCTGAATTCTGAACCACTACCATCTTTCCAAAGAGTTATATGAGTGACAGTCTCAAGCACAGTTTATTTACAGAAGCTATCCATTGCTGTTTGCTCACTCCTGCTTGGGTTCTAATTACAAAACTGTAATCTGAGAGGTGGAGCAACACTTTACTGATGATCAGTTACTTTTTTTAAATAGAAAACAAATTCTCATTCTCACTGAAACACCTCACGCCTCTCATGAGTGTACCTGTAATGTAATGTAATGTAATATATTGAGGGCATGGACGGTATGTGGTATTATTTCTTGTCAAATGTATTTTAATTTTTGGTGAGTACATATTTTAACTTTGCAGGAATGTGGAGCAAATCCTGTCATGTGGCCTAACTACCCTTCGCATTGTCACCACTGGGCTAAGGTAACCTACTGGCATTATGCAAGAATAATTCTGGGAACTGAAGTCATCCTCTTTGTCTTTTATAAATGTTTATATTGTGTTTCTTTCCAGTGTCTCCAGGAGGACACCTCTATAAGAATGTATCAGCGCTCAGTCAGGCAGCCCCGCTCATTTCCAGGCTCTGGCTGGAACCTACAACTTGAACACTTGCGTCACCCTGTCTCAGTCTCTCTCTCTTCTGGTGCGGTAATTTTAGTCCTGACGTTGGCCTGGTAAAATGAGTCCTCTGACGTTTTTAAAAGGGTGGCGAGGTGGGGGGGTAGATAGGGTACAAATACAGGCATACACACTAAAGTCCAGCCAGTCCAGAGAAAAGAGGAAGAAAGTTTGACACAAAAGGCACAACTAGCCGGTTTCACCCAAACCTCATTAAAATAGAGGAAAAGAGGAGGACATGCTGGCTCATCAAGGACACTGTCACATGACTGTCTCACAGGTAGGTGACTGACTCCTCAGATCCGAGGTGCTTTGTTGTTTGTGTGGGAATCTAGTTGGCTGGTAATCACCTCTACTGATTCACTAATAAGAGGTTTTTGATGACAGGGAAGCAAGTTGATACTGATCTTAATTTTATTTAAAGAATTTATTTAGTTGATTTGGCTTGTATGGGACTTGTGTGGGACTTTGCTCTGCCCAAACATCATCCCTTTCAAACTGTCGTCCACTGATCCAAACATAAGCACAGGTTCAGTCTCTCCTCCCACACATTCCGCACATTGGCTCGGTCTATGGTTGGACTTTTGATGTCATTCCCACCAGCAGCTCTGTCCGAAGGTCCCTGTAGGCCAGTCTGGCTCTAACTGATCTCTCATATCCTATAATACAACATTCTTCTCCTGGTCCTGTTCTTAGAAAAAGTCAGCTGTGAGTGGGTAGGCCTTAAATTCCTCTTGTGGCTTTGCACTGGTCTGTCTTTCGCTTTCCTTATCCCTCTCTCATTCCCCTCTTCCTCCCTCTGTTTCTTATGCCTCTCCAAGACATTCCAGATGTGGGCTAGCCTGGCTCTATTGCAGTTATATGTTACCTCTGGCTACAAACGATAACAAAGACCAGAGTTGTACAGTTCCACTGCTGACTGGGTTCTTCACTGCTTCCCTGCTCCTTTTCCATTTGACAGGACAGACTCAATGACAGCCACTGCTGCTCTGGGATCTCTACCCTCAATACTGACATTGTGGCTTTAAAGTGGGCTTCATTGTTGTTTGGATACACTTCTGTGGAAGCAGACAATCCAAGGGTAAGACAGACAGGGCTAGATGTATTCTAGTTCCACAAGTGGAAAGATTTCAAGTGTTTGGCTGCTGGAGATTTGTTTGACTGTTAGAACATTGTTGGCTAAAGCCAACTGAATGCAGGGTGTTAATACAAAACATTTTTTCTTCAAACAATGTGATAAGAATGGCTCCATTAGAGCATTTTCACTGTCCTTTGTCATGTCCAAGCTTTGTTTATTTTGTTGTTGTTTGGCCTTGCAATGAGACCAGGTGAAAGTTACTGCCATATCACTGCCATCTGGAAATCATTTTCACAAAGAAAGAATCTAAGTGATGTTCAGTCAGAAAACAAGTCTGGTCATGTGGCGGCTCTGCCTGGCCTCCATCCAGATCTGGTTTCATCAAAAACAGAGTACCTTAAAAGGTTGACGGCGAGAAACAGAGACAGACAGAGTGAGAAAGTGTGTGCTGAGGGAGGGGAGCATTTCCCGTGATCGCGTTGTCCTCCCCTCCCTGTTTTCTCTCGTGTCTCAGACACCGTCCAGGTGACAGGAATAGTGAATGCTTTGGGTCCACTCTGTTGTTACAGACAAAGGGACATCACTCTGCTTCGTCCAAGCCTCAAATCCTCTGCAGGATGTCTGAGGGAGACATTACAGTGCTGCCATTCGGACCTGCATCTGTGGACCTGTCCAGGCAGGAGCACTGTACACTGACCAGACTGTACTGCCAGAACGGAGGATATCACCTGAGGATTTTACCAGATGGAACAGTGACTGGTGGCAGGCAGGACGATGACCGTTACAGTGAGGAAGGAATTTTTTCTTTCTTTCTTTTTGATGTGTGATTGGTTGTTGCATCACAGAATCATGAGCAAACCAAAAAATATTGAGAAAAGTCTTTTGGCTATGACTAGCTATTTTCTGTACATGTAATTCTCCACTGCTAACTATTTTGTTTTAAGTGAAGGCTTTAACTTAAATGTTGATTAAAAGTCTCTCTGGGTATTCAAATAATGATAAAAGAACAGAGGTAAGATATTTTGGTTATCTTGGGAAATTAATAACTGAACTGAAAAGTGGATGAATATTAAAGCTCATGAGTGTGGGAAGTTAATAATTACTTAAGCAAACTGTTAAAGTCCTCTTGTGCAAAGTATTTAATCGCAGCAGTTCTGGTAAAGCTGCTCCTTGATTTGGGTCTGTAATCATTAGTACTTACCCTGTGTGCACATTCAGACAACATGGCCTATGTTCCCTGAAAAAAATGCTGGGTAAATATTTATTTCAGGAGAAAAATGATGGTTACATTGAGTTTAAGCAGGTTTATCTTCCACTTTTACTATCATATGTTTGCATTGCAGACATCCTGAGGCTGAAGTCTGTGAGCGTAGGAGTGGTGGTCATCAAGGGTGAGCTGACAGGAAGGTACCTGGCTATGAACAAAAATGGAGGCCTGTACGGATCAGTGAGTGTGCCACTAAATTACTGCCAATTACTGCTAATTTTGGGTGGAAAAATCAAACTGTTAGAATATCACACCACAGCACAAATGTTGATAGATGTGTCGTGATGAAATGAGACCGTGTTTCTCTTTGGAACTGTAGGTTCCGTTTATATTGGGGCTATTTTCATCACATCACATAATGCTTGACAGTTAACTTGTCAGTATAAGTTTAAACTCACTAATTCTTGCAGTTTTGTAATAGCATGGGTTATTTCCAGCAAAACACTGGGAAACCACCTGGCTAAAGGCTGACTAAAGGATTTTTTGCATAATATAAATCACTGTAGCCAATGATGTCTCATTGGGTGAGGTGCAACATAAGACATTTGTTATATAGATTTTTATTCAGCTCATGTCATGTCATGTCATTACGTCATTCAGCTCTTGATACAATCCTTTACTCAACATATTTAAAATAAATTTACAGTAAGGATTAGAAGACTTGAAAAAAGTTTCCTCTTCTCTTCTCTTTTCTCCCTTCTTTCATCTTCTTGTCTCAGCAAGCACTGAATGATGAGTGTTACTTCCTGGAGAAGTATGAAGAAAACCACTACAACACATATTGCGCCCAGAAGTACAACTGGTATGTTGGGCTGAAGAGGAACGGCCAACCCAAAGCAGGACCAGACACCCACCATGGTCAGAAGGCCATCTTTTTCCTGCCAAGGCCTGCAGGCAACATGTAAAGCAAGACGGCACCAGTAACAATGGACACGCTCACTGAAGTCTTTAAATGCGCAAAAAAGTGAAATTTTATACTAGTTTAAAGGTCACTTTAAAGCAGTACAACAGGCCGGTAAAGCCTTTAATGTTAATAACCTAAATGTTTGTTTACCCCTCTTGTTTATGCAGGGGAAATGCAGTCGGGCTAAGCAGCATGTACCGTATGTGATCATTACAAGGATATAAGCTGATACCCAGAATGCCTTCTGCCTATAAGCACATACCATATACACCTTCTTACCGCAGACAGAAAATGTGTGCGGTATCAGTGCATGTCAGTCTTGATAAATGGGTGTTCACTTTGAACCCAAGTATGAAATACCACTGCTGGAAGCCAGCAATGGACCACTTTTACAAAGAAATAGTTTTACGATTGATCACGTCTAGCACAAAGGAAACAAACAAGGCAGTAAAAATAAAAATGCCGACCATCTGCCATTGAATTTAAAGTCAAACAAACAGTCCAGTACCGGGAATTGGTAGTAACATAATTATTTCAGTGCCTTGCTTTTTTTCACCTTTATTTATTGACACACAGTTTTTCACAGACATTCACACTTGGAAGCTCCCCAGTATAGTCTGATCTGCTAGCCACTGAGCAGCAGTTAGGGTTAAGGCCCTCACTCAAGGGCACCTCAGTGGTGGTAATGAGGGAGGGGCAAGTACTGCTTTTCACTTTCCCCGCACAAATTTATCCTGCTGGTCTGGGGGACTGAAACAATGACCTACCAGTCACAAGCTCACTTCCCTAAACTTCAGGCCCACGTTACTTCAGTGGGGCGGATGTTGACTTCTGAATGACAGTCGTTACTTACTTATTTTTAATTTGCTCAACCCTGTTTGATGCCCATTTCTGTAACCACTTGTGTTCTATGTGGAATTTTATTTTATGAAAGCCACAAAAGTTTCTTCACACAATAAGAGATATTTCTGCTGGGGATAAAACAGATGAAAATTTTAAACACACAACGATTAAGTTAATTAAGATACTTTAAGTTTCAATTTTAGGTCAATAGACAAAGTTGATATGACATTATTTGAGTGATAAAATGCTGCTTTTGAAAATATCGCCCTGACAACAGTAACACACGTGTATAATGTCAAGGCAGATGTGAAAACTTTGTTTCAGTAATCAGTGAGGTTACTGTTGAGTTGTATGTTCTTGGTGATAACAAATGCTCAATGGATTATTTGATTTTGGTTGTAAGGAGGCAGAGATGGACCAAATATTGACCATTCTGTCCTGGACCGCAGAAGTCACAAAATGTTTCCTTTCACTGGGCAAAATGGCTTCACTTCAAGGACCAATAGATCTTCCTGTCAACATGATTCTTATTTTGTTTGTATTTTGTTGCTACTGAAACATTATATTAGATTAACTTAATGTTGTGAATATTTATTTAAAGAGTTGAATTGCTAATAAAATTAATTGTTCTGAACATTGTAATGGACACTTAAATAAAATAATATTTTTTTCATAATGAAGGAGCAAAAAGGTAATGTGATTTACCTTTGCACAAAGTAAAATTGAATTAAGTGTATTTAAATGTAAGTCTGAATTATTATAAATAAAAAAAACTATAATTATTGTTCTTCCTAAAACATAGAGATGTGAATAAATTTACAAACTTATAACTGTGCATATGTATCATTAAAGGAACAAGCTGTGTCCAGTGTCCAGTACATCTGTTGCAAATCAGCTTTGTGTGTGTGTGTTGTTGTGTCCTTTTGTGGCATTAAATGTGAACATCTGTGTTTTTATTAATTAAATCCACTCTTACAGCTATTCACCAGAAACGCATTCCTCCTTGTGACACAAGCATTAGAAATAATACTGTTCGGTCACAAGATGGCAGCATTGCTTTAGGTACAGTGGTGTTTCTCTCAGGCTGCCTTCAAAAGCTCCAGGTCTTGGGTTTATTATCATTACATGCAAGGGTCTCTCCAAACCCCAGTAAAAATAAACCATGGGTAAAATAGGTACATCTAAGAAACCACACAGTTGCTGTCAACAGCATGCATTTAGCCAGCACTAGGCACTATATATGGCTTATGAAGATTAACATTAACTTAGGAAAATGTCATATTAAAAAGAAATACCAGATACTTTTATTGCCAAGACATTGTACATTATTTTAGGGAGAGGGGGAAAAATCACCATGTGTGAATTTAATCTTTCAGTATCTTAAATACTATGAATTAGCTTAGTCACAATTTAGATCCCACACCTTCTTTTTAATACCTTACTTTGCTGAGTTTTTTTTAATTGAATAAAAAACAAAACTTTAAATGAACAAATACATTATCTAATTTTAACCCCAGCAGCCATAACAGTTAGCCGAATAAAATCAGACCAAACATTTATACAATTTTACAAAAGACAACCCCATTTGCACAAGTTTCAGTGAAGACCTGCTTCTTTCCAGTTAAATTGATTGCATCCATGAAGCTGTGGCAGATAATGCCATCACAACGCAGAGAAAGACCTCCATTCACCCTGACCAAGTATTTTCACCAAATTTTTGGAAGCAATGGCATTATTCATCTAATCTGCACTTAATGTGTAACGGCTCAAACAGAACATGGCCTGAAATGCTGTTTCAGAGGCCGCTGTGCCAGGAAAAAGATCGTGGAGGAAACACTGGAACATGGTTTAAGATGTTTGGGAGGACTGGAGCTGATTCATGGCTCCAACAAGTTCCGTATTATTGTGGGATTTAAACAGAGTTGGCAGGGAACATTACAGTAAGATTATTACTTTCCAAGAGTGTGACAAAGTACTATTTCAAATTGAGCAATAGTTCTACATTTTCCAATTTAAGACATTGCTTTCTAATGACCCTTTGTAAATGTCAGATCAGAGCTGAATTTGTCTGATTTGTTTTCCTGATAATATTTCATTGACTGAAATTGACATTATCTGTTGCCAGTGATACATCAGTGCTTGATTACTGGACCTGCAATTTTATCAGCTTGAGTATTACAGTAGTATATTTTAAGTTGCTTTATACTAAAAACAAGAACATTTACTTGTTACCACTAAAAAGGTAATATGTCTTACTTGAGGACACTGACCGGACACATAGCTGTTGGTGGACAAACATTAACTATTATGCAACCTGTGAACTCTCGTTTACAGGACAGTCTCTCTCCTCCTTTCCACTAGGCTACCCTATGAAGCGACACAGCCCACACACACACACACACACACACACACACACACACACACACACACACACACACACACAAACCTGTTTGGCCATTGGCCTGCAGGGCTGTGCAGGGCAGGAAGGGAATCATTCACTGTAAACTGAACAAGGACTGGCTTCCTCTGGGAGTCCCCTAGCCTGACAGCAGCCAAGATCCCTGCAATACAAACCACTCTAGCACACACACACACACACAGATCAACACGTACACACCCTGGAACTGGGACGCATTCTCTCATCTGTTACTCCTCTCTCTTTCCTCAATTCCGTCTTTCTTTACTCTCCCTTCCTGCCCATCTCTCAATTTCCAGCCTCCTTTAACCTCTGTCTTATCACTTTCTCCTCATCATGTTCTCTCAGCATTGCCTTCTCTCTCTCTTTGTTCCTTTTTTTACCCCTGTCATATATATATATATTCTCTCTTACTAATCCACATGTCTCACCAGATGTTCCAACCTATTTGCATTCTGTTTCTCTATTTCATCCTTCCTTTCAATCCTTTCACCAGAGTAGTTCCCTGTTTTTAAGTATTTGCCTGGACACTTGCTGGGATGATGGAAGAGTCTCCATTATCTATTCCAACAAACAAAGATTAAGATATACAGTGCAATGCTTCTTTAAAGCCTACCAGGGCATTTAAAAATAGGTTAGGGTTAAAAAATCACTGGGCAAAATCTGACCAAATAATGACCCATTTCTTTGGATTAAAAAAGTCACTGAACCCCTGCAGTTGCTCTACTCTGCCCCTCTGCACTCCTCCTTCGCTCTCATCCTGTTCTGGTGGCCTCATCATGAAAACAGAGATGCTTTGTCATCGTTACTGTATGCATGCTATTCTCTTCACCTTGCTCCTCCACACAAGCAAGCACTCACACACACACACACCAACAGGGACGGAAACAGGGGATGCATATCCGTCAGCTGATCCAACTGGAAATGCTGACACTGGTCTCCCTATCTGCTACTGCTCTCTGAGACAAGAGGGGAGGAAGGCAGAGAGGGTGAGAGAGGGTAAGAAAATAGGGGGACAGAGAAAACGAGAGGGAGCATTTTGACAACCCGGAGAATTGCCCGGATGCTTGTGGTTGGCCCTACAGCAACTGTTTTCCTATTAGATGATTTGTGCTGGATAGACACATTCTGCAGGGGCTCCAAACACGCAGCTTTCCCTCAGAGTTGGAGCGAATGGCATTTGTCAACCAATTGACCCTTTAGGATTTAGCCACAGCAAACTGACAAACTTGATCCTAAGCTGATAAAAGAAGAAGACGAGCCATTACAGAAAAAAAATTAAATTAAATAAAGAAAAACTCCCTTTGGTGTGCTTCATGTTTGACCCTTCTCTGCACATGGCACTCATTTAGCTCGTCTCTGCTATTTCACAGTGGCGTATGATCGGCTTGCAAGTATGTAAGCTGAGAGTTGCTGCACTGTTTTGGCGAAACAAAGCAAAACAAAGCAATGAGCCAAAAGCGACTGGACGCTTGTTCAGTGCAGCTTTAAGTCTCCAATGTGCTTAGGGGCTGAGTTCATCAAAGCTGCCACGTTAGATGTTTTATCCATTAGACAGGCAGCAGTGTGCTTGTAATTGAAGTATGCCAGTGGTGTGGTTAGGGTAATTTTTCAGTATTTTAGCCCTGAGAGTATGAGCAGTCAGGGGCTGCAGAAGGTGGAGGATGATGGTAAATGAATCAACACAATGAAAGGTTTATTGATCAGCACCAACAACTAATTTTGATACCACTACTACTACTACCAAAGTAGGCTCCTTAAAGAAATGGTATGACATTTAAACAAACAAAGATATACTGTATTCCTTGGTGAGCTTTAGAGGTGGTGGTAGGTGGCTTTTTTTTACCTTTGGTCTGTGCATGCTAAGCTATGCTAACAGTACGGACTCCAAATTCATATTTAACACCCAAGCATGAAAGTGGTAATGATCTTCTCAGCTAACTCTTGCCAAGAAAGCGAATAAGCATATTTCCCAAATTCTCAAACTATTAATAAGTGGTCAGCTCACACAAGTGATAAATATGGTACATTATCAGTAGTTTTTACTGTTAAAAAAAAGGTCAAAACTAGTGTACTAGTTCAGACACAAGTGGTTAAAACTATTTTAATATTTGAAAAAATACTCCAAAAGCAAGGTTTATTTACTAGTTTTTTTCTCAGAGCTTTCGGCTTTAAGTTCTTCATTACGTCAAACGTTAAGGTAAGGTATAATCATATGTGATGATCACAAACAACAACTTATTGATAATTTTAGCTTCTAGCTAACAGGCATTGCAACCTGCCATAATTAGCAATACAATGTTGGTATACTCACTTTGTTCAAAATGTGTTCCAGTGGTACAAAGATTTTTTAATATATTGTTACAGCTTTTGAGAGTTCATACGAATTCAATGTTAGTTATTGCATTGTTGTTGTGTTTCTCTCTAATGTGACAAACTTCGTTGACTGAGTGTTGAAGGTCCCTCAAGAAGGCCACAGACAGAAAGGCGCTGCTTAGATGAGTTTTTGCAAAACTACAAGTGTGGCTGGCGCTTGATGCTTGAACACCCACTCAACCTACCTTGCTAAATGAATTGAACCTACTGTATTAGAGACACATTACTTCTATTAAGCTTATTTATTTCTCACATTGGAACACTATATGGAGGTATTAGGCGGGAAAATTAGGTAATTCTTGTGGAACAGACTGGTGTTATTTCCATATCGTACGATTCTGCATTTCAGGATTTATGACCAGTGCCAACGGTCAGTGCCAGCGCAGGAAGTAATGTGTCTTAAATGAAGGAAGGTGGAAAGTAACAATTAACCGTAGCCTCGTAGCATGCACAGATATTGTAGAAAGCGAGAATTTAAAGAAACATTTGCATTGGACAAAGGAAGGGAATTGGAAAGAAAAAATTGCAGAATGGTCCTAAATCGATGTTCTTGAATGGCTGGTCTGCTGACAAAGAGGAACATGTCCGCAGATGGACCTCCATTATCAGACTCTGCACTTTCAACATTTTGGAAGGATCCTACAAATGTTACACAATCTGTGAGAGATGGAGGATAATAAATGGAGTGATTGTTTCCCGTCACACCACACTCAGTACGACACACACACACACACACACAGACGCTATCGCTCTCTCTCACACATACACACACATTTCTTCACCTCAGTGTCTCACATTTTGAGTGTGACTCTCTAAATCACTGCTTGTGCTTCCGCAAATATGGACGAACTGTCTACTCAACTGTTTTAGTTGAGTAGGCACACTCAACTAAACCCCCCCCCAAAACACACACACACACACCTTGTAGGGATCGGAAGCTGGCCTGTCTTCTCAGCTGTGATGTCTCACATACACAAATACTCTCTCACACACAGACCAACTGCAGCGATGACGCTTGATAATGGTCAAAAATATCCTGAATGGAATAGTTAGCAGTGAAGTCATACCTCTTTCTGCTCCTTTTAGCATCATGGGAATTTAC